GAGCTTGAACTGCCAACCTTTCAGTTCAAACCAACCTTGCAAAGCAGTGCATTAATCTGCAGTACCACACCAGGACTCCACAAATAGATAGAATGACACTAAGTATTCAAATTAAAAGAAGTGAAGTTATAAGGGATATCTATTTAGCTTTTGGGTATTTTCCAAAGGGGTAGGGAAAAAAAATTGTGTTTGTTTTTTTTTGAGATAGTGCCTCTGCTTATTTTCGTTTCTTTGATCTCACTGATTTAAGATGGGCAGTAGCTCTGGGTTCTTTCTACAATAAGTCTTTAAATTGAACAGTGGTATTACATACACTTACAAATACAGTTCACAAATTTACAATGTTTTAAAAAATACCAGAAAGAGAATTTTCACCTTGTCTAGATGGGTCTGGTGAAAGGAGATGGGGATAGGAGTCTTTTGATTCAATAATGAATATTATGACTAATTGCAGGTGTCACAATTATAAAAGCAGAAGATGTATAACAAAAAGAGGGGAGTAGTTAATCTTACATTCCTGGAACAGAGGACCCTAAGAGCAAAGAGCATGAACAGCTTTGGATCCTAACCAGAGAAGCAGTGAAACCAGAGATGGAGGTAGAGGTGATGGCATGGAGAGGTAGAACAGCTAAGGACTCTAGACTCACAGAAAGAGAAAGGCTGTGTGCTGGCAACCAGGAGGCTGGTTTCCAGACTGTGCCCATTGGTTGTTTATATTCCTGTGTGTTTGTGTACATAAAAAAAAAGAAAAGAAAGAAAAAGAAAAAGAGGGAATAGAGGAAAATACTGATGGTGAATGGAAGGGATTGTAATCATTGCAATGAAACAAAATGCAATTGGTTGAGTGCAAAATCAATGTTCTGTCAAGTAAACTATCACTCAATTCACAATAAAAGCTTTTTCTAAAACAAGTATAAAATAACAATGATGAAAACCACAAAATTAAGTGGTATTGCTAATTCTAGAAGTTTCTCTGATGCTAGTACAATGATCATGTATTAATCCAAAATGTTTTTTGAAATAAAAAAAAAAAAAAAACAGAAAGTATTATGAATAAGAAACATCCATTTGCCCTCTACCCAAAATTTTGTCTTTTCTTTAAAAAAAAAAACACTTTTTATTGTGAACTGAATGAAAGTTTACAAAGCTTCAGTTTTATATTCAACAAATCATATACTTTGCTTCATTACATGGTTGTAATCCCCTCCATGTACCAACAATTAACAACATTCACCTCTACTCACTTTAACTATTGCATTCTTCCCTGTGTCTCCCACTACCTTCATCTTTCCTCTGCTAACCTACCTCTTGTTGTATACTGCCTGTTCTGTCACCCATGCTAACATGTGTCTACCCTCTATCCCATATTTTTCTCTTCTTACCGCCCCTCACCCATAACCATCGTAGATTACTAATATCAAGGAATCCTTTGTTTAACTTTTCACATTGGTTTCATATAATGTTTCTCTTTTTGTGACTAATTTCATGCAGCATATCACCTCCAGGTTCAACCATGTTGTGAGGTGTTTCATAATTCATCATTCTCCAAAGTTTTGTAGTATTCCATTGTGTGTATTTATCAAAATTGGTTTAACCATTCATATTGATGGACATTTAGACTGTCACCAACTTTTTGATGTCTCTCGTAGACATCATACTGAAGGATCCTGTTTTCCTATCCATCTCTGGTAGCATAGTGATTACGAATTGGGCTGCGAACCTTAAGGTCAGCGGTTCGAAACTGCCAGCCGCTCCGCGGGAGAAATATCAGGCTTCCTACTCCCGTAAAGATTTACACCCTCGGAAACCCTGTACAGGGTCGCTATGGGTCGGAACCGACTCGACGGCACTTCACAATAACAACAACATGCTCTCTATGTGTCTTGACTGGTACATTTAACCCACTTACATTCAGCGTAATTATCAAAAGGCATGAATTGAATGTTGTTGTTTTTCTGTATGGTTTTTTTTTTGTGGTGCTGCTGGTTTCTTTGTTCCACATAATTTTCTATGATGAATTCATTTTGTTTGGGAGTTTTCTTATCATTCTCATTTCTGTTCTGTTAAATTTATGCTTTTTTAATTTTGCCATGCAGGTGCATTATTTTACTTTGAGGATACCCTGTAATTTATTGTTTCCCTGCTTAAGTCACTTTATCTTGAAATATACCTGACTTTCTTTGCCACTTGAAAGTTCTGCATCTACACTAGTCCCTCTTTTTTGCTTTGTAGTTGACTTCATTATACACTGATATCTCTGGCTCCCAATTTTCAGTCTTGAAGGTTTGTTTTAAATACTTCTAGTAGCCTAGTAGTTACGAATCGGGCTGCGAACTGCAAAGTCAGCAGTTCGAAACTACCAGCTGCTCCATGGGAGAAAGATGAGACTTTCTCCTCCCGTAAAGATTTACAGCCTTGGAAACCCTGTTCAGGGCCGCTATAGGTTGGAACCGACTCAACGACACTTAGAAACAACAACTTTTGAATTGAGTTATGGGTGGTAGTGTCATGTATAGTAACCTCAGGTTGTTTTCTGCTATTGTTAATTCTCAGTCCAAAGAACACCCTTTAGCATTTTTTTGTAAAGTTCATCTGGTCATTACAAATTCCTCTAATTTCTGTTTATCAAGAAATGTCCTAATTTCACCATCATATTTGAGGGACAGCTTTGCTGAGTATATGGTTCTTGGATGGCAAGCATTTTCTTTCAGAGTTTTGTATCTGTCATTCCACTGCCTTCCTGCCTGTATAGTTTCAGCTGAGAAATCAGAGCTTAGTCTTACTGGTTCTCCTTTGTAGGGAACTTTTCGTTTTCCCAGAGCTTCTCTCAGAATTCTTTCCTTGTCTTTGATTTTGGAAAGTTTGATTATAGTATGTCTTGGTGATTTTCTGTTGAGATCTGTCTTGCATGGGTTCATTCAGCTTCTTGTGTGCTATCGTCTCATCTTTCATGTTAGGGAAGTTTTCTTACAACAACTCGTAAACAATTTTATCTGTGCTTTTTATTGCCTTTCTGTTCTGGAATTTGTTTCTCCTCGTGGTGTCCCACATAACTCAGGAATTTGTGTGTGTGTGTGTGATTGTCTTCTAGCTTACTAGTATTGAGATTTCTCTTCAAGTTTACTCATTCAGGCTTCCGTTGCTTTGCATCTTCTCCTTTGCCTTTTCAATGTATTATCCATTTCTGAAATCTTAGTATTACTATTCTGGATTTCTAATAGAAGGTTTAGTATTATTTTCAAATTTTGCATTTATTTTGCCTGTTTATTCTTACAGTGTTTTCCTGAATTCTCCCAAAGTTTTATTGTGTTCTCCTTGCTTTCCTCAATCTTCTAGGGATCCTTTGAAGGTACCTAATTATCATCCTTTTGAATTCTTTTTCAGTTAGTTCCATTACTGTTTCTTCCTCAGAAATATGTTCTAGCTCAGCATCTTGATCATTTGTTTGAGCCATTATTTCTTGTTTCTTTA